CAAAATAACAGTAGAGACCTGTGCCCACTACTATTTTTAGATGATAAACATTTGTATCAGGTCAACAAAACACGGGCATAGCAACAATATTTTTTATACTACATTTATCCATTTTAAATACACTAACCTCACTCCTTTGTAACAACTAAGGCAAAAATGTCATTAATTCAGAAAATCTATTCAGGACCCCACCTTGATGTTTCGGGACCCCAACTTTGGGTCCCGACCCCAACTTTGGGAAACACTGCACTACCTTATTTCTTATTTTAATACCTAATTTCTTAAATTATTATTACACTTTTGAGTTAGCAATGAGGAGAATGACATATTGTTTGAAATGTTTTTTTTGAATTTTATTTATTTAATCAGGACAGTGTGCAATTAAAACATAAAAACATTTCATGCATTGCACCGGATTTAGCCTAAGGCTAATTTACATGTGTTGTCCCTCCACACCATAAAACAAAACATCCAACAGTAACAGAAATAAGAAAATAAAATAAAGAGAAAAATAAAATAAAACATTTTGCAATTAATTGACTTGAAAAACATCTGATACATTGCATCCAATTTAGCAATAGGGTAATTTGACATCTGTATTTCCACCAGACAATAAACAAATATCACCGATAGGTAATAAAAACATCCAAAATGCAATTTATACTCTTGATTTAATGTATGTGGCCATGAAAAACAATAATTGTAACTAGAAATATTGCATTTCCTGCGAAAACGCTAGTGTGAATGCCTGTTGCTGAAAACTGCTGAAATTGAGAATGTTTAATAGCAAAAGTATTATTCGAAGTCAAACTTTAAAAGCTGAAAGAAGCAAAAGGAAAAACAGTAAAAAAAGGAGCAAAAATGCAGCTGAAATAGCATAAAAAAGCTAAATGCTAAAATAGCTTAATTAAGCAGAAAGCACCTGTAAGAAACATGCGTAACAAAGTACCAGGAAAAAAAAACACACAAAAAAAGCATAGGAATAGTAGAAAATAGAACTACAGATAAAATAGCAGAAAACAGCTAAAATTAGCATAAAAGCTAACTAAAAGTAGAAGCCAGAAGCTGGAAATATTTTATTTAGCATAAGAAGGGAGTACAACCTTGCTGAATTTAGCAGAATTAAGTTCTAATTGCTAAACAAAATGTTTATTTAGCCTAAAAAGCTAATTTTAGCTATTAACAGCTAAAATGTAGCTCCTTTTGTAGAAACTAACAGAATAAAGTAGAAAGCAACTGTAAGAAGCATAAATAGTTCAAATTAGCAGGAAAAAAGCACAAATAAAGCAGAAGAAGAAGAACTAGCAGAAAACAGCTGAAGTTAGTAAAAAAGTTGCTAAAAATTGCAAAAGTGCAATTGTGCAATTTTTATGTAAGGTTTTGTACAATGAATTGTGTAAGGTTTTGTAAAGATTTAGAAACTATTTGAAGGATTTTGAAGGTTGTTGAAAATAGCCCCATTCATAGTCAATGGGGAAAAAGTGGCTAAAAAAGTTGAAATAGCTAAAAAGCTATAAACAGCCGAAATACCAAAAGTCATAGCAGGCACTGCACGAAAGAGCTGAACGTTTTGATATATGAATGGTTGAAGTAGCACAAAAATTGTGGAACAAGGAAGGTGCCGAAAAACGTACGGAACAAAAAATGATCTCAACTAGACATGGGTTTTTACGATGTAAAAACAAGTGTGCATTGCCATGTAGCATATCATTGCAGCAGTGGACTTTCAGAATGAACTTTGACCAAGTTCAAATGTGTTTTCTATACCAGCTTGTGCCTGTCACGTCAGCAGGTGTTTGTTATTAAGGCAATTGAGTGACAATATGAACTTTGAAGAGATTTTTTTTCTTAAAGTTGAATTAACCAGGTTTTGAACCATGATCTCCCACATGATAGTCCATGACATAGACCATTAGACCAATGCAGCTGTGGCAGAAGGTGGTGGCAGGGGTTGGTTTGTATGTGTGCAGAAAGAGGCCACATTGCCAATACAATTATCGACACAAAAATGCATTATATTACAACAATCGAGCAGTATTAAGACAATATTATAGTAAAACATCAAAATACAATCATATTAGTATTGTAAACACTGAACTATTGCGATTAAATACAAAAAAACTATGGTGCAGTACCAAGTTGAGTACAGCTGGGGGCAGTATTGGAGCAATACAAGGCTCCATTGACTGCCATTATGATTCATTAAACATTAATATTTCATAAACTATAAGTTCTACAGGCACCAAAAGACATAGCCATCATTTGGCACAGGGGCTTTACAGATATAAATTACAATGGCAGCTCTAGGACAAAGTATGCAGGAGGAGAAGCATGGCAAAGTTGAGATGACTTGGATGGGAAACGAATCACAATAGTGTGCATTGCACTGGCAATGCACACTGATTATTATCGCACAATTATTGAGAAAGGAGCAGGTTTATACAAGGCTTTTCTTCTTCCTGCTTCCTTTTCATCCATGCATAGTGTTACAAGAAAAAACATGTTTTGTATGTTAATGATGAAATTGTTGAATTGAGTTATTAATTTTTTGATAATTAATCGTTCCATTTCAAATCTACCATGCCAGTATTGAAAATCACCTCTCACTATCAAATTTGCTAAAAAAAAAATATAGAGAGCTCCCATACAAGATGAAATATTTTTGTCTTCAGCAAATAAAGTTTAAAGCTCAACATAATGTGTGTAACTTCTTTTAAACTAGCTCACAAAAAAAGTGGGCATTTCAATGTTTTTGCATTTCAGTGCTACACAACAGCTATCTTCCACAGTGCACTTGTTGAAACTGTAAATTCCTACACACTGACTCAAACTCAAACGCCACACAGGCTCATGAATGGCCTCCCTGCTCTCTGTCCCCCCCGCCCCTCACTCAGATGGTACAGCCTAGTCCAGGACGGAGCATCATGGCGATAGACGGTGAGTTCTCAGGTGAGGCGGACTAAACTTTGCTCGGGACAGGAAAAAAACAAAACAACCGTGTTACTGAATCAAGCTAACCTTCGATCGAGTCCGTCACGTCCTCACTCGGTCTCCTTTTGCGATTCGCGCCGTCAGAACCGCAGACCGGGACCCGCATCGCCGAGCGGAACGGACCGATGCTGAGATGCGGATTCAAGTGATGCAGGACGGCTGAGATCCCTTCATGGGACGCGGCGCACCTGAAGTGATAAACCGAACCGTGGACGGTACCAGAACCGTTTAGGTTGTCCGTCTGATTATTTATGATGTTAGTAAAAGCTTTAGTTAGGTCATAACTCTATACAGCTAGCGTATTTTAATAGAAGAACCGAAAAAAAATCATAGCATACTGCTGTTTTAGCATCACGCGACTTCTACTTTGTTGGTAAGTATGGCAGGCCGTTGTAACATATATAATAAC